CTGGAATCTGGACCCCAACCAACCCATATTCAGTCAATTTACTTTTCACCCTATTAATTTCCTATTTATAATACTACTATTACTGAACCAAATTTCAAATTTAAAATCACATTTTCCCTTAAAAAAAAAAAAAAAAAAAAAACTGATTAAAAAAAAAAAAAGAAAAGAAAAGTAGAAGAAGCATCTTGAACGCCGTAATAATTCAAAACCAGTTTTGGCAATAATATATCAAATCAAAGATCATAACTTTTAAGTTCTAAAGTCAAACAGGAAACCAAAAACAACGATTAAAGAGAAAATCATTAGATCGCTAATCCAGAAAAGTAGAGAAAGAATCCATGGCAATACCAATCGTAATCAGACTTTTCATTCTCAGAATTCAGGAATTTATCAGCAGCAGTCTTCTGTACCGGCAGAGACGATACAATCTTCGACGCCGGAGAACCACCGGCTTTCGATCCTGCAACAATCCAGCACTAATCAACAAATCATTCCAATCTCCCAAACATAGGAACGACAAAATCAGGAAACAAAAATCGAAGTCACAGTTTTGACCTAAAGAAGCATCGAGGTCATCGGAGCTCTGAAGCAGGATGAGGTGATTGTTCTTCTCCTTCTCGCGTCTTCGCAATTCGAGAAACAGAGCGAGCTCTTCCTCTCTCTCCTTCATCACCATTGTTGACCGCCGGAACTGAACAAATACACAGATATAACCGAATTCTTAGCTGTTATTCTCTTCATAAATGAGATGAGAAAACAAAACGTTGAAAAAAGAGGTGTAGATCGGCTATTGGTAGTCCCTGTGAAAGAGGAGAAATGCGAACCTGGAGAAAGGCAATGCTGCCTGCTGCCTGCTGCCTGCTCTCTGCTCTGCCCCTTAGCTTAGCTCTCAGAAAGTCGGGGAATTTTAAAACTGGGGCATAAGGAAGGAGAAGCAGGAACGAAATAGACAATTTCAAACGTAATTGTGCTGCTCATACTGTATCCATATGACCCAAATGATCAGAGTAATTACTAAAGTGCCATCTATTATAAAATGTTCTGCATTTAGTTTTAAGGAGAACGTGTTTTATACCGTACTTTGCAGTGTACGCGATTGTAAAATATAAATTGTTAAAAATTAAAAGATAGATAATGATAAATTTTGGATATTAGAGATTTTTTTTATTTAAAGTTTTTTTATTGTAAAATATATAATTAATATTCCTCTAAAGATATAGATAGATTAAAAAAAAAATCTTAAAACTACTACAGCGGTGAAGAATCATTTTCATTGTCATTCAATAAAATAATTAAGCAAATAATATCTGAAAATTATATTATTTTAATAAAA